CATTTATCTCAAGTGTCAGTTTCTTAACTTCGTAAGAAAATATTCAGAAGACTTGAAGTTACTTTTGTATTATAGCAAATTTGTCATTAAAGTAAGAGTAATGTTTCATTACATTGATTATACGTTAGTTTCTTACATTCTTTTGATGGATGAAAACGTAAATAATTTTCCTATTTAAGGATATCATTTGGGAGCTAAACACAAAGAAGAAAAAACAAATGTCCTTTCTTTCATTTACTATCTCCTTCACCAATTTCTTTATTGGCTTAAATAATCATTCTCCCTATTGTGGATTTCCGGGCAATTGTTTTTGTGCAACTCCAAACTTTCAGCCATGAGTGCACGTGTTTGAGAGTAACTATGGAACCTTGGGGAGCGACCGGCTACAACGATTTGCACCAGAGTCTGACCAAAATCGCATTCAAGGCAGTGGCTTGCCACGACACAGTGTTTGTGTTAAGTTATTTACTACTTTATAATTTTAGTCCAATATCAATATTGTAGTATTTTTCCAACAAATATATCCCTCATCGGTTGACACAAAGGAAAACAAGTATTAAGATGGTTATAAAAAAATAGGAAGGAACAATAAGAAACTTACATACCTGGACGGGGTCAATGGGTGATCAATAAGACCCATGGCCTAGGTTTGTGACCTTCATTGCACTTTGAAGGGGTGCTTATCTAAGGCCGGCCCAAGTGGTCGAGCCTACGTCATAATTTGTTGCAGTGGGGGCATGGTTCGCATGGCCCTACCCAATTCTTAAGCAAAAATTTCTTGTTTCAGATTTGCTTAGTCTCTTGGTAGGGGTTGCGCGAATGCAAGTGGGGAACTGGTAAGATTGTCCATCTCCAGTCTTATCATTCACTTCTTGTTAGTTATTGTTATCTCTTGTATTCAGATTACCTAATCAGAAATAATAAAAAATGAAAGGAAAAAGCAAAGAACTAATCCGAGTCCACAGAACCCACTGTGTGTCCTTAAGAAATTTAATCCCATCAAGTACCCGAGGTTGCAGATTAATTCCTCCCAATATAAAACGGATTAACCATTAAAGAAGTAGCGGTACCTCAAACTTTGATAATTTCAACGAACTCAAAATGACAGCAACGAATCACACACACAAACACAATCGATCGATTTTATTTTGTAAGAAATGTATGCGAGAGAAGGGAAGAATTCGATGCAGAAAAATGAGAGAAAGCCTCTCTATTTATAGCCAACAAAGAGTAAAAGTCATAACTTTTTGGAAAAAAGACAACCTTTCAGAAAGGTCACAACCCTTTGAAAAATGCACAACCTTTCAAACAATCACAATCCTTTAGAAAAGATACAACCTTTCATAAAGGTCACAACTCTTCGGCAAAGTCACAACCCTTCATTTCCTGTTCACACCTTTAAAACCCAACAGTTATGGTGGGGAACTTCATGTTTAAAGTTCAGATATTCAACGGCTCTCTACAATTTTAAAAAGTAACTCAAGGATTCAATTTTGCATTCCCCGTATACTTCTGTACTCAATAGCCACTACGCTACGGGTCTCTATTAGTATTAGTTCTAACGTGATGATTATTAAACTTTGACCTTTTATGTGTTAGGTGAACCAACTTTGCCAAATTTGCTAGAGTTGTGGAGCTAACAAGTCTATGAATAGATCATCAAAATCGTGTGGCATTTGATCCATAGCTAACAATATCACAACATGTTAGGAGTATCTTCGTATTATTTTAGCCCAACAACATACTGATACTTCCGTCACATTGACCGACACCCAATGATTCAAAAAAATAATAATTTATAGACTTCTTCTGAGGAGTGATAAAATCTTAGCTCTGAAAGACAAGGTTCCATTCGCTACTCGATCCCATTATAAAACTATATATGTTACTCGGACCCTATAAAGAAGGTGACTTGTGCGTTTGGAGGATCCAACATAGGTCCGGTGCAACAATATTTTTGAAGAGTCCAAACAATGTAGATGATAAGACCTACTTAAAGTAACCATAGAAGATGCAATATAAATAAACGCAACTCTTATTTTTTTCGAACTGATCAGTTGAAAACACCCTATGCGATGGTTCATCGAACACCTTGAAGGAAAAAAATAGAGAGCATGAGTGAGTTGAGTACCACATTGATAAACAAGGAGTAAATACATACTTTGTCCCAATATAAAAGTGCAGCACAAATTAGATTAATAACTCACGCAGCCACGCAGTGAGCACAAAGCAAACTATTCTTTCGCCTTTTACTAAAGAATACCGTGTGCACGCTGCAATCAGTGGCATATGCCTATTTTTGGAGGGATTCTCTTCTTTAGAGGACCCCAACAATACTAGTTTTTAACCTTTTCTACAAGTATTCTTATTCGCAGTAACATTTGTTTATATTCTGATATTATAAAATAGTGACACTCTTTTATAATAACAAGACACCACGGTAATAACAAGAAGAAAAAAACAAAATGGACGATATCAGATTGCCCAGTGCACATTTTTAAGTTAACATCATATGGTACCACATATAATTAGTCAAAGTGCACACAGGTCAAAGACATCACGGTTGTATGAAGAATAAAACGAAAAGAAGAAATAACATTATGGAGCTATTCGGTAAGAAGAAAAAAATACTTTTCATGAAAACTGTTTTCCTCTCTACCAAAAACACCCTATAAGTTGAGAAACTTTTGCAATAAAGTTAAATTTTTCCAAGAGTATGATAAAGATTTGTTTGATATTAAATGAAAAAAGATAATGATAAAAAGATACTTACCTGGACGGGGTCAATGGGCGATCAATAAGATCCATGGCCTAGGTTTGTGACCTCCATTGCACTTTGGAGGGGTGCCTACCTAAGGTCGATCCAAGTGGTCGAGCCTACGTCATAATTTGTTGCAGAGGGGGCCTGCGTTCGCGCGGCCCCTACCAATTCTTTATCAAAATTTTCTTCTTTACTTACTATTCGTGTATAACTAAGGGTCCATTTCAACGCTAGAACATTTTTCTATTGGTTTATTTTGATTAATGGATGTAACATTAGTGTGGCAACATTTTACTACATTTTTTTATTGAGAAGTAGTACACTTTAGAGGATCTCACTTAAGCGCAACCACATTCTAACATTTCTTTCCTATTTGTGCATTTTCAATTTTCAACCTAGCTTTGTGTAGGGGTGGCAAAATCAAACTCAACTCGTTCAATCCATTTAATCCGCTTAAAATAATTTGCCTATTCATTAGCTCAATCCAATCCATTAAAAACTGAGTTGATATGTAATCTGAATTGACTCATGAAAAATCTTATTCAAATATTTTTAAAAAACTTTTTTTTTCAATTTGATATATTGTATATAACCATAACAAAGATTTTTTTTTAATTAGATACTAAAATAATTTAAAAGAACAAGTAAAATAATTACGCTTAGTAAATTTGGGTTGGGTTGGGTTGGGTCGGGTCTTGAACCGTAATGTTTATTGTAACCCATGACCCAATCCATTTTGACCCAAGAAAATTTGGGTTGGGTTGGATCTTGATCCGATTGTTGGCTCAACCCATTATGACCCATCCAAATTTGACTCAACACACCCAATTGTCACCCCTAGCTCCGCCCTCGGACGTTATTACATCTCTAACTAACAAAAAAAATTCATTAAAACACTATCTAATAAAAAGTTCAATAATATTGTCCACTCAAATATAATGTCTATCATCCTGTTTGTTGTCTATGTGGTGCCATAAATAAAAGAAAAGATCAAAAATCAAGAGCAAAATGCCCCTTATCGGCTGACACAAAGAAAAACAAAGATCTAGATGGATATAAAAGAATAGGAAGGAGCAACAAGAAACATACTTACCTGGACGGGGTCAATGGGCGATCAATAAGACCCATGGCCTAGGTTTGTGACCTTCACTGCACTTTGGAGGGGTGCCTACCTAAGGTCGGCCCAAGTGGTCGAGCCAACGTCATAATTTGTTGCAGCGGGGGCCTGCGTTCGCGCAGCCCCTACCAATTCTTAAATAAAATTTCCTTCTTTTGGTTAACTTATATTTGGTTTTTGTTAAACAGTGATAAATAAAATGTAGTGCATTTTAGAAGATTTGACACGACAACATTTAACACTCGGGTGCATGTTGGCAGTTTGTCCTCATCAAGAAGTAGTGCATTTTAGAAACTCGGTGCATGTTGGTCCTTGAGAAGTAGTGCATTTTAGAAGATCTTGCATGACTGCGGCAACATTTAACATTCGGGTGCATGTTTGCAGTTTGTCCTCGAGAAGTAGTACATTTTAGAGGATCTAACATGAGTGTGACAACATATAACATATTTTTGAAGAGTCTAAGAAACATAAATTAGAAGGCCAAATAAGAAACATATATTTTCTGATTAAATGAGGTGAGTACCACATCGATAAATAACGAGTAAATACAAACTTTGTCACAATATAAAAATGCAGCACAAATTGTCTTTGAAACTCACGCAGCCACGCAGTGAGCACAAAGCGAACTATTCTTTCGCCTTTTACTAAAGAATACCGTGTGCGCGCTGCAATCAGTGGCATACGCCAATTTTTGAAGGGGTTTTCTTCTTTAGGAGTACCCCAACAATACTAGTTCCAACTTTTCTAATATGGTCTTATAATGTTATACTAATGTTTTTTTTTTATTATGATATTGTTAACAATCTTTGTTGAGGGTTGGTAAAAAATGCCTAGTTATTAATATAGAATTTTTCTTGAATGCTCAATGCTTTAATCAAGATCGCAGGATCAAGGTCGATCAAATCATCTGATTAAGAGTGGAGGAATATTTTTTTTTCGTATTATTTTTTTTCTAAGAGCTATCATGAGGACTAAATGATGTAGTATGATACCCCTATAATTTAGTTGATTAATGTTATGAGATTTAAACTTTATATAAGCAAAATGTCCCTCATTGGTTTACACAAAGGAAAAGAAGGATTTGTATTGGATATATAAGAATACGAAAGAGCAACAAGAAACATACTTACCTGGATCGGGTTAATGTGTGATCAATAAGGCTTATGGCCTTGGTCGATGACTTCCTTTGCACTTTGAAAGGGTGCCCACTTAAGGTCGGTCCAAATGATCGAGCCTATGTCATAATTTGTGGTAGGGGTGTACAAAACAGAACCGAAAACTGAACCAAACCGCAAATCGAGTCAACCCGAAAAAAAACCCGACTAGTGGTTTGGTTTGACTTGGTTTGGTTTTGAAAAAAAAAATCCGACTATATTTGGGTTGGTTTGGTTTTAACTAAAAAAAAACCAACCCGAGACCAAACCAACCCGACATTATATATATAATTTTAAAATTTTATTTTATACATAAAAATATTTACTTTGATATAATTTTTAAATATTTCTTATACTTTTTCATAGTTTTTATCTTTTAATATATTATTTCAAGTTTGAAACTTAGAATTATGAATAGGTCAATAAAGATTATAGTCTACAGATGTTGGTAAATATAATAAAGCTTAAATCAAAATCAAATTAATACTCATGCAAAAAGAAAATCAATTCAACACTAAGAATGACAATAATATTGAATATTTGTTCTTTAGTTTTACATTGATTTAACAATTAAAATACATAATCTAATTTTAATTTCCTTTAATATTTAGTCATGTAACTAATACTTATTAAACTTAATTTTAGCATGATTTAGTACTTTTAAATTATAATCATTTTCATTATGACTTGTTAATTTGCAATATTTGTTTTACGCGATTTCATTATTATTATTTTTGTTGGATATTTTAGTGTCATTAATCATATCATATTGTGTTAAATTTTTAAGAAACATCTTAAATAGTTGTATTTTGGTAGGACTAAAGAAATATTTGAAATACAAGTAAATTATATGTTTGTATGAATATTTTACCGGAAAAACCCGAAACAACCCGAAAATTTGAAAAACCCGAGTTTTATTGGTTTGGTTTAGTTTATAAATTTAAAAATCCGACACAAATGGTTTGGTTTGATATTTGAAAAACCCGAACCAACCCGGCCATGTACATCCCTAATTTGTGGTAGCGGGGCATGCCGTTCGCGCAACCCCTAACCAATTCTTCAACATTTTCTTCTTGTTCTTGTTAAGCTTGGTATTCAGTTAGAACTTTACATGTTTTTATTGATTTATTTGGATTTACCAAGTGATATACGTATAATGAAAAAAAAAAAATACACTTCTTTGCTCTATGAATTACTTGACTATGCTTGACACAAAAATTTTATGTCATAAAAAATATATATTTTAAAATGTTGGTCAAAATTCACAGAGTTTAAATCTCAAAAAGCAAAAATATTAATTGGAACGGGGGAATATTCAAGATACTCATTCCAAAACATCCAATGTGATATCTCATCTATCATCTTTTGAGCATATATTTCTTAGAAGCCGAAGCGAATTCAAAATTTAAATATGCTTATACAAAAAATACATAGAAAGCAATACATTTTTAAAAAGGAGTGAAGGAATCGGAGACGTATCTAGGATTTTGAAAGGATGGGTGCACTTTACAAAAAAAAAAATGAATTTAAGATATTAAATTTGAGTGGTTTGGCCTTTATCTTTTCACATCGAGTTTAAATCTTTTTTATTTACATAATTTAAAATGATGAGTCTATTTTTTATAAAATATAAACTTATAATATAGGTTAAGTTTTATTTTAAAAAATGGAAATCACAATTTGGAATCTCAATAGCATATTTTATTCCAAAAAAAAGATTAAATATGCTCAATTCACTAAGATGTGGATCAAAATGAACAAATCAATAACTTTAGAGACTAGAAACGCTATTTTCCTTAAGTATGAATTTTGATATTTCCTTTTTATTTTCCCCAAATCCCTCTCCCTGTTAAAAAAAAAAAAAAAAAAAACCTCCCCCGCCGTCAGTCCATCTCCCTGCGCCGGCGTGCCGCTGCTGCAAGTCTTCCACACCGACCGCCGGAGTCCTCCGTAACTGTAAGTTTCTCTTCAAAAACTATTCCTCGCCTTATTTATTGTAGTTGTTGTTCCTTTTTTTAAAAATCGTGCTTTGCTTTGTCATGATTTCTATAGTATTTGCTTTGATATGATTTTACTTGAGCTGAAAGTCTATCTGGAGTAAGATTTGTGTAAACTCTATACGCTCTAGACTTTGCATTGGTTATGTTGTTTATACCTAAATTTTATGGTTTCCTTGATGGAGTTTTTGCTGGCTGTATTTTCACCTAGTCGTAAGAAAGAGGATGAAAGACCTATTGATGCAATGTTGAAACTTGAAACATGGATCCAGTATTGAAAATATACTCTTATTCTAAACATGTATTGAAGAGAGAAATAACAAGATGAGGCACCTAAGGGTGTGACGTAGTGATCAATGAACTTGGTTGAGAATCAATAGGTCACTGGTAACACTAGGTGATTTCTTTTTCATATGTTCAAGTCTTGGTGGATAGAGTTACACGGTGATTGTACCGGTAGGAGGTAGCAGGTACCGCGTGAAATTAGCTGATAGCTGACCCAGACTCCACAGGTATAAAAATTAAAAGAAAAGCACAGAAGCTGCTAAATATACATACATTGCTAAAAGGATTCACATAGTAGACAATGGCTACCGCTACTTATAACAACAAGAATTTGGAAAAATATGATAAATCCAAGGACCTTGCCATATAATGTTTGATATCAATTTTTTCTTCATTTGCTGTTGCATTATCCCTGTTCCATTAGTACCTAATGTGTATGGTTATAATCACCATATACTACCTGGGCCACCTTCTTTTTTATATGCCATTGCCTCTCACCCTTGCAATAATGCTTAAAAAGATTTTACCTCTTCCCATCAGGTGTCCTTTAAGTGCACGCCAAAGAAAGATGAAAGAACAGATGGCTATATTAGGGAATAATAGAATTGAAGATGTTCGGTGGCTTTGTTCCTTAACCGAATCTGAGCTTGTAAGTTATCTCTGTTCATTTTTTTCCTTTTTCTTTTGGGTGATGACCAATATCTTATGTGTGATCTGGTTGAATTTTTTAGGATTTATTGATAGGTTTGAAAGTTCTGATTCAACAACGTGCCAAAAAGATTGGTCATAAGTCTTTAGCTAACAAGTTTGATTTGAAGACCCTTCGAGCCCTCAGTGAGTTTTTGCTTCCTCCTCTCCATAAGTTTGTAACATTTATTCATTACTTGAATGGTGCATCATCTATAAACTGGTATTTGCTGTAGAAATTGGTGAATTTTTTGTCTGTTTTTACTTTCCTTCAGATGGACACTAACTTCTGTTTTTAAAAAATATTGTTACACTTGAGCTCGATAGCGAAAAAATTGCACAGTTATAGCAAGTAAAGAACAAAGGGAGAAGGAAAGAATGAAATCAGAAGATAAGAAGAGGGGATATGAGAGGAGGGAACTTAGCTTTTTCAGTAATTACATCTTTATAATACTTCCAAATATAATTTAAAGAAAGAAAGGTAAAATGGGCAAACAAGTCTGAGATGACATATTAGAGGGTTCTAGAGGGCTTAGGATGTACTAGGAGCATCTTGAAGGAGTTTTTATCTATGAAGAGCTTTAATGGATTCATTATGCAGTCGGGCTACTTCATAAGCATCCATGAGGGTGGCAGGGTTGGCTATCCTCACTAGAGACTTGATCTCTTGTTTCTATACGTTGACAAAGCAAGTTACAAAGTGGAATTCAGTAGGATGGAGGTTAATCATCACCATATTGGTTGCACCCTCCATTGCTCCTAATAACTGTCCACAGTTCCACATCGCTGAGGTTTATTGAACTTATATATAAAATCGCTAAACCTCCTGTGTAGATCTGCCCAGAACATTAGCCAAGATAGACCATCCACTGGGAATCCTTTAAATGCTCTTTAAATCAGTAATTAACTCGATGCATTACTTGTTAAACATAATTCACCTTCATCTATTAGGAATTTGATAGGTTTCAAAATATTTTCCGTGCCTTCTAATCCAGCCCTCGGATTGATGCCACCAAACTCAGGAAAATGAAGCTTCATTTTTGGAGCTTCTGTGCTGAATAGGGAGTGTGATTGGTACTGGTTCAATGACAGAAGCGAGAAGCGAGGTGAAGTGGTAAGCACAGAGCGACTGCTGCTTCTTTTTATAAGAAGATAAGAAGAATCATAGCTTATACAAAACTTGGTATTTAGAGACACAATGTATTTTCGCATTTCTTAAAGTTGAATCTTCGTAGAATTATTGAGTTATTGTGGGTTTCTATCCTAGTGAGGGTCCCTTCATTGCTTGCTTCTTCTTGTGTTGTGCTATTTGTCCTGCATGAATATCTTGCATTACTGTAAATTCAAAAAACTTTACCATGCCTTAATGCGATCAGGTTTACTCCCCTGGATATTTTGCAAAACAATTCACATAATCACACCTGTTTTTCGGCTGCCAAGGCTTTAACATTACCAAAGTCTTTTTCAGTGTAATTATTACTCTTAGCTATAACTTGCAGAAAGAATCCATGTAGTTGACATGTATCACACGTCGGTTTAACTGAAGTTTTGATCACTTCACTATTTGGCAGGTTTCGTTTTGATGGAGCATCTTAAAGGAAAACTTAGAGACCTCTCCAGTACACCTGATACAGCCGAGTCCTCATCAACTTTAGATGCATGTAATTTGTTGAATTATGATCTAGACAAGACTTTTGCAAATATGGGGGTTGAACAGCTGAGCTCCTACATTTGCAACGACAAGAGGAAGAGAATTTTGGAGATGTAAGTTCTCTAGAACTCATTTAATCATTACTCGTAAGTTGATTTATGAATCATATTGGATTGTATTTCTGAGGTCATTCTTCCGGTCTATCCTCGCTTATGATTCCCAACTTGTAGATAGTTTTCCAAGCATGACTTCACGCACCTAAGGGTGTGGCCTAGTTGTCAATGAAGTGAGAGGAAAATCATAAGGTCTCAGGTTCAAATCTCAGTTGAGACAGATCACTAGGTGATTTCTTCTCTTTTGTCCAAGTCTTGGTGGACAAAGTTACCGGGCACTTGTTGTTGGTGGTTGGTAGTAGGTATCCCGTGGAATAAACGATACGCACGCAAGCTGGCACCAGATACCACGATTATAAGACAAAAAAAGCATGACTTCACGATTCGTACATTTTTGTGAGCAATCTCATTTTCTGAAATTTAATCAGATGCATAAAACAACATTTTGTTTCCCAACTTTTGGTTTCCTCGATACATTAAGTCACATTATCTTCTATAGTTTATAGGTCTAGTAAAAAAAATTGTCTCCCTCTGGTATCTGGTTATTCTCAAGGCCTCGACTAATTTGGATTCACGTTGAGTAAGGCCCATTCAAGAGGGAAGTGCTCCTTTTCATGAATTTTTCTATTCCCAGGGTTTGAACCTAAGACCTTTGGTTATACGTCTCGTAATTGAACTCTAGATATCGTGTATTCCAATATTCTTTTTCGTCTTCTAAAGATAAATGATTTCAGATCTTCACACTGCTTGTGTATTAAGTTCTTAACTTGTGCTGTAGGTTTTCTGAAGACATTGCTCCAAATAGAAAGCAGAGAGTTAACAGTGACAACAGTAGATCCATGTAGCAATATAAGCAAGATTATAAGTTATTTCCTAAAATGTAATATTCAAATTTTGATGTTAGGGATATTATTCCCAATTTTGCTTTTCATTTTTTTAACTATATTATGTGTAGCTTTAATATTTTTTTTACTTTTAATTACAAAAAAATTGGTTTAGAGAAAGTATAGAGGATTCTCATATGGTTGCTTTTCAAGTGTAGCAGCTTTTGCTCTTTTTTGGTTTTTGTTATTATTGATCTTCATACCAATTCAGAGACGGATTCAGAATTTGAAATGTATTTGTTCATACTTCCTACAACATCCTCAAGTTTTGTATTGGTTTCTCACCTGATGTCATGTACTTGCATTGGACCTGATGAATTCGGATTAACTTATATTTAAGCCCAAGTTGAGAAGTAAGATGGGGTTGATGATAATCGGTATTTTTTCGAAAAAGTGATTTTATTGATGGCATTTGATATGAGATCGAATGAACTTGATTGAGAGGGAGGAACCCCATTAGTAAAAGACCATAGAGAACTCTGCTTTTTGTATCAACTTTCACACAATCTGAAATATAGGAAACAACGCGTAATAATAAAACTGAAGAATAAGATAGCAATAGAGTAATACAACAACATATCCAGTTAAATTTCACATAGGATCTGAGGGACTAGAGCGTATATAAATTTTACCACTACCTCGTGAAGATAGATAGTAATACAGTAATAACCTGTCATATTGATATGAGAATAGATGACTTTCAGTTATAATTAATCTTCTACCATAATCTTCATCCCCTAGTTAGCTAATGGTGTTATAAAAAACAGAAAAGGTACTTCTATAATTGACTTGTTAATTAGTGAGCATTCGTGTAACTGAATGATTATATATTTATTTATTGGAAAAATTACTATATATTATTTGTAAATGTAAGTTCGTCAGAGATATTAACCATTGTAAAATGTAAATAAATATAAACTCTCTTCCCAAAGCTCACACGTATCTTTAAAGTATATTCTCTGATCTAGTGTGTGGAAGTGATTAAACTCGTAACCTAGAGATCATACAAAAATAATTTTATCATTTAAGATAAAAATAAATCTAGCGTAACTATAAGTTACGAGTTTATGTTAATTCAGTTAAAATATTTTAGTAAATAATACCATAAGTATTTAATTGTGTTGGTACTCAAGGATGTAGCCTAATGGTCAATGAAGTGTGTGGTTAAAGTTTCAGGTTTAATTTTCAACGAAGACAAAATAAAATACTAAATAATTCTTCATAAACATAAAATTCTAATTTCGCTACTGAACAAGGCTCTCCTTCACTTGAAAATATCATTACGCCATATCTTAGTTCAATCGGTGTTCACTCGATTATTTTATTGAATATTTATTATCAGTAGATATATCTGAAAACTTTCATATCAACTTATACAGATGAGATGAAATCACCTTCTTCTTGTTTTATATTGTTCCGTTAAAATTTGAATTTCGATCTTTAAAATTTATATTTATTTCATTGATCGCTAAATTACAAAAGTGATTTATATATGCAATTTGTTTATTATAAATCATCAATTCAATAAAAGTAGGAGCACTGTTACAAAGAGAAACAATTATGGAACACAAGAACAAAGCAACGTTCATTTTTGCAGAGATTAATAGTAATATTTATAATTTTATATATATATCTTTCTGCAAATTTTTCATCTGCTTTCTGCAAGTGGCCTTTTCCAAAAAGCTTAAATAAAAGATAAAAATGAATTAATTAAAAAAAAAAAAAAAAAACTGCCAAAAAATGAACTGAATTTCATGAATGTTTTATTCTTCACATATTATTATTTTAGTAATTATTTACTGAAGAGGGTGGTGGTTTAGCACTGACAGTACTAATTACATCATACTTAATGATAATCTTATTAATTAAATTAATTAACGGTCTTATTTGTTGATATTTACCTTGTTTAGAAGGTAATTACTATGGATGGAATACTGTAATTATAGTGGAGAATAACTTGTCAAACTTTCAATCCTTCTATTTTAATCATGTTACGTACTCGGTGATGATTCGTATAACTGATCTTAATTTATTTGTGTAGACGAAGCTCGAGGGGTGTAAAGGATTCAATAAATTTCCTATTTATTTTTTTCTTTGTGTTTAGTATTTTGTTATATTTTGAATCAACTTAGTAAAATTCTAATTCTGCGACTTTGATATATTGATAGTGTTGTTAGGAATCTTTTACTCTAATGAACAAATTTTATTGTTTCTTATCTTTCTATACTCTCCTTCGAGTTCTTTTTATTAAGATTTTTCGATATAAATAAATATTATTGTTTCTATTTTTCGAAAATAACTTTTTCTTTGTTTTGATTTTTTTTTTTTTTTTTACAATCGTCCTATTGAGTACAATTTGCATGTTTATTTTCAATCCCCATACTTGCATGACTTTTCATAAACATAAATTTATCATGAGCAAAGTACACAAAAGTTGCAACCCCCCAAAAAAATTTAAACACTTCTAATTTCATGATTTTTCACATACAAATTTCATGATTCAACATTCAAGAAATCAGCTGCAACGACAATTTATTCAGTATAATTCTATCAGTATGATTTAGATAAAAGTAGAATCTACCTAAGCTAAATGTAATTGACATGAGATCATAAAACATAAAGTAATAAAATAGCAAGATACAAAACTTATTCAGTATGATTTAGAAAAAAAGTAGAACATACATAGGTTATTTTCGATAAATTTTTAAGTAAAAAAATGTAACTACATGAAATCGTAAAATATAAAGTAATAAAATAGCAAGATACAAAATAATTAAAATGACATATATAATAATAAATTCAAGAAGTTGCATTCATGTAAATTTAATCAGAATAATTATTTTATATTTACTATTTTAAATAAAATAAAACAAAAATTCAGCTTGAGGAAAGGTGCTCAGATTTGATACCATCTGTCTATATCAAATCTCACAAACCCATGCAATTGCCACGTAGATCTTTGTTTTTATGCTTACGTGTCTTTTTTTTTGGTTATTATAATTATTTTTATCTTTTTAAATTTTAATGTGGTATATATAATTAATGAAAGAATAGTACATAAATGATAAAACCAACGGTTTTCCAATAGATAAATGTTTTTACCTATAAGTTATGACACATAGCACATGCAAATTGATATTTTTTGCTAAATAAATCTTTAGAGATTTGTACTTTTTATTTTTCTATATGAAGTTTAGTAATATGATTAGAGACTATTTCTATAGTAAATTATACTATATATTGTAAAGATTATTATCTACTTAGTGAAATTTCACTGAATATATTATTGATAAATGATAACAATAATTTAATATTAAAATATTCAATTTACACTTAGTAAAATAATTTATAGCACACAAACATCAAGTACTTAGATCACACATTTCAAAAGTTTTTCTTTGTTTCTTAAATATCATGTTAAGTCAAACTAACTCATATAAATTATAACAGCGAAAGTATAATTTTACAAATAAAATCGAAGATAATAGAGTACACATATATTTTAGACATAATACATAAATATGACCCTTAACTTGGTTTCAGCAGACAACTACGCCCTCCAATTTTGAGTGTGTGCATAAGTACACACTTAAATTTATATAAAACTGAACAAATAAACACACATGTCCTACATGACATAATATACGTAGGACGTCACGCATGATACAAAATTACAATATAGGACATACTTGTCTATTTTGTTCAATTCTACATAAGTTTAACTATCTACTTGTGTACAAAAAAATTAAATGTCATAATTATCAGCTGATACTTAGTTAAGGATTAAATTTATCTCGATAAGACTATTTTCGATAAATCCTCCGCTCGACCACACAAAATTTATAACAAAAAAGGTAAATAACCTCAACGGGAAAGTACCATAAATGACAAAATACCCACTCCACTTTCATGTGAAACATAACAAAACAAAAATATTAAAAATATATAATTTAAAAAAATAGGCTCCTTCCCCACTTTAAAAGCCTCACACTGTCAACTTTCTTCATTACTATACTCTCCATTTCTCCGACTAACCGGAAAACTCCCCGGAAAAAAAAAATTCTGTTAAACCCATAATTTTTTCAGTTTTTCTGATAGATATCTCAAATGGGTGATCAAATTTGTACAAGAAAAGTCATTGTAGAAGTCTGTAATGCTAAAAATCTAATGCCTAAAGATGGTCAAGGCACTGCTAGTGCTTTCGCCATCGTTGATTTCGATGGCCAACGACGTCGTACTAAGACCAAGTTTCGAGATCTCAACCCTCAATGGGATGAGCGTCTCGAGTTTTTGGTCCATGATGTTGATTCAATGGCGTCTGAGATACTTGAATTGAATGTGTATAATGATAAGAAGATCGGAAAAAGGAGTAATTTCCTTGGGAAAGTTAAGATTCCCGGTAGTACTTTCGTCGGAGTTGGGTTGGAAAGTTTGGTTTATTATCCGTTGGAGAAACGGAGTGTTTTTTCGCAGATTAAAGGTGAGATTGGGCTTAAGATTTGGTATGTAGATGAAGAAATTCCGCCGCCGCCGCCAGTAACGGAGGAGAAAAAGGAGGAAGTTGCAGCGGAGGCAGCGCCGGAGAAGAAAGAAGAGAAACCCCCAACTCCGGCGCCGGAGGTGAAAGAGGAGAAACCCTCTACTCCGACTGAGGAAAAGAAAGAGAAATCGGAGAAGAAGGAAGAGGAGAAGAAACCGGATGAATCAGCTGAGAAGAAGGAAGAAACCCCACCGAAAAAAGACGGCGAACCACCAGCAGCGGCAACATCACCACCGGAGCAGCAACCGGAAGTAATGGAGCATCCACCAATAGCTCAACACAAACCCCCAAATAAAAACCCATCAGCAAATGAAAACACCAGTGAGCTCAAAATCCTTCATAAGAATCTCTCCACCGGAGTTGATCGTCGAACAGGGGCATTTGATCTCGTCGATCAAATGCCATTTCTATATGTTCGACTTGTGAAGGCGAAACGGGCTCATCACGAGCCCGATTCGTCTGCTTATGCAAAACTGGTAATCGGAACTCACAGTATAAAAACCAAATCACTCGCTGATTACAGAGAATGGGATCAAGTTTTCGCGTTCGACAAAGATGGATTGAACTCAACTTCATTAGAAGTCTCAATTTGGGTCGAAAAGAAAGGAGCAGATGATAAAATCGTCGAAAATTGCATCGGAAATGTGTCGTTTGATTTGCAGGAAGTTCCCAAAAGAGTGCCGCCGGACAGTCCATTAGCTCCACAATGGTACAGTTTAGAAGGTGTCACCGGCGATCAGAACCCACCGGGAAATGACGTTATGCTGGCGGTGTGGCTCGGGACTCAGGCGGATGAAGCTTTTAACGAGGCGTGGCAGTCGGATTCCGGTGGGCTGATACCGGAAACCCGAGCCAAAGTTTACCTTTCTCCGAAGCTGTGGTATTTAAGGCTAACGGTTATCCAAACCCAAGACTTGCAGCTAGGTTCGGGTGGTACCGAGCCTAAGGTTCGGAGTCCGGACCTCTACGTGAAAGCTCAGCTCGGGGCGCAGTTATTCAAGACGAGCCGAACCACGGTGGGCACGTCCAGCTCGGCGTCCAATCCCACGTGGAATGAAGACCTTGTCTTCGTTGCCGCCGAGCCGTTCGAGCCGTTTTTGGTGATCACAGTGGAAGATGTTACTAATGGTCAAGTGGTGGGGTATGCTAAGGTACAGGTCACATCCATCGATAAGCGTACCGACGACAAATCAGAGCCAAGATCAAGGTGGTTCAATTTGATTGGTGACGAGAAAAAGCCATATGCCGGTAGAATACACGTGCGAACTTGTTTGGAGGGTGGGTATCACGTGCTTGATGAAGCAGCACATTTAACAAGTGATGTCAGAGCCACAGCAAAACAATTATCCAAACCACCTATTGGATTGCTTGAAGTTGGTATAAGAGGGGCCAACAATCTCCTCCCTGTGAAAACAAAAGACGGTACACGTGGCACCACCGACGCCTACGTGGTGGCCAAGTACGGGCCTAAGTGGGTCCGGACACGTACTATCCTCGATCGTTTCAATCCGAGGTGGAACGAGCAATATACATGGGACGTGTACGATCCTTGCACCGTGCTAACGATCGGGGTGTTTGATAACGGGAGGTACAAGCACGACGATGCACTCAAAAAGGACGTACGACTCGGGAAGCTAAGGGTACGACTCTCAACGCTCGACACAAATAAGGTGTACATGGGTACTTACTCACTCATGGTCTTGCTCCCTAGTGGTGCAAAGAAAATGGGTGACATTGAGATTGCTTTAAGGTTTACTTGTTCATCATGGTTGAGTTTGATACAAGCTTATACTAATCCTATGTTGCCAAGAATGCATTACGTACGCCCATTTGGTCCAGCCCAACAGGACATATTAAGGCACACAGCTATGAGGATTGTGACAGCAAGATTGGCTAGATCAGAACCAGCATTGGGTCAAGAAGTGGTTCAATGTATGTTGGATTCCGACACACACATATGGAGCATGAGGCGTAGTAAGGCGAATTGGTTCAGGGTGGTGGGGTGCTTGTCTAGAGCAGCCACGTTAGCTCGTTGGCTCGATGGAATTCGTACATGGGTGCACCCACCAACAACAATCTTGGTACATATACTATTAATAGCCATTGTGTTATGTCCACACCTAGTCTTACCTACAATATGTATGTATGCATTCTTGATCATTTCCCTGAGGTACCGATATCGCCAACGTGTTGCAATCACAATGGATCCTCGATTGTCCTACGTAGATGCAATAGGCCCCGATGAGCTCGACGAGGAGTTTGATGGGTTCCCAAGCTCGAGGCCTATGGAACATGTTCGTGTGCGATACGATAGGTTGAGGGCACTAGCAGGGAGGGCACAAACACTACTAGGTGATGTAGCAGCACAAGGGGAAAGACTAGAAGCATTGTTCAATTGGAGGGATCCTAGAGCTACTGGTATATTTGTGATTGTGTGTTTATTTGCTTCATTGGTGTTTTATGTGGTTCCATTTAAGGCATTTGTGTTAGGGTCAGGGCTGTACTACTTACGCCACCCTCGGTTCCGCGACGACATGCCATCGGTCCCCGTCAACTTTTTCCGGCGACTACCACCACTTTCCGATCAAATTCTTTAAGATTATTGAGTGGTGTTTTTATGTTTTTCATTATTTTAGCTTTTTAGACTAGTTTTTCATGGTTGCTCTCTTTCATGTTTACTTTGTGTAAAACATGACAATTGACATAACTATTTATTTAATTCATTGTTTTGTTTTCTCAATATGTATATTTTTGACCGTTGGTGTATTGGGACCAGAAAAATATATTGTATACTTTAAATTGGGTTGGTGGGTGTGTTAAAAAGTGGACCAAATATTGGATTTTAATGAAGTGACCGTTAGATGAGTCAGATATGTTACTTGCAGCTGAAAAAGAACAGAAAAGTATATTGTTTTTAGAGTTAATTGTAAAAAAAAAAAAAAAAAAACTTATAGTTGGAGTGTGAAACTCGTAAAAATGAAATTATTTTTATCGAGAACAATGAAGGACACTAGAGTAATGTAATGAAAGAAATATATAAATTGAACAAACATCCTTCTAGTTCATGTTCCATAAAAAGACAGAAGAAAAAGGGGTGTGTTGTAAAAATCTTTACTTTAAACATAGATTTGGTTGAAATTTGAAAATAAAGAATGTTTAAAGTTAAATGGTAGTATATAAAAGTCGAAGTTGAAAAATGGTATTTAGAAGTTGAGGTTGTAGTTAGATATGGATTTCACTTCATACCAAGGAGTAAGAATTGATTCATGCAAGTCAGAGTAAGGAATTGTCCACTTCATCACCCGAAGAGCGGCCTACAAAGAAAAGACTCCAAAAGTACCAATGCTCAATTCAAAAGAAAGAGCAATCAACAATCTTCAGTGTGTAAACATCATAACCAAAAAATTCCAAACTTCTTGCTTCAATGCAATGCACATTAAGCATAAAAGTCCTATGATTTTGCATAAATATACAGCAAAAAAACATCTACTCTCTTATAATATATGCTAATGTAGCCAAAGGTTGAAGGAGAATATCCTATTAAGGTCATCAGTCCCAGTACTTTTACTACCGGTTTCCGCGAGACAGATTGTAATCAGGCAAGCTTAAGCTTCTTGAACTCCAGGAAAGGCTGAGAAGAAACATCTTGTTCCTATGACTGTCGTTGATGCTTTGTCTTCTGCGAAAAAGCAAAAGAAGAAAGCTTCTATTGCTGCCAAAGGATACGCCTTTACATCAATCTTTATTGCAGAGTTGTAGTTCCTTCTGGGAGACTACTTCGCGGGAAGATTTCTTAAGGACTATTTCTCAGGTCCTTACTATAAATCAGAAGTTGTATAAATCAAGAATGAGTTGCTCCTTGTATAACTCGAGATGAAGGCCTTTCCAGCTGAGGTTGGCTGAGAATAGGCTAACTCGGACCGTTTAAGACCTAAATCCTTGCAAAAACTTTCCCTGCATTGAAAAATGAGAAGCAAGTTCAGACTTTAACTTAAATCATAAGCAATCCATATATACGTGGAACTTTGGCATTCCAGACAGCAAAATAATCATTTCCTCTTAACTTATTTGACCAAAATATAACAATTACTTTGCAGATAACTGTCATGCAATAGAAAGTAGATTGAAGTGTTGACATAATTGCAGATTTTGTGGATCCTCTATTGTATCTGGAATTGCATCTCCATCATCTTCAATAACCAGGTTGGCCCAAAAAACTAGAAAAAATGTAAATCTTTGTTTAAGTCTATGTATGATTCTTCTGTTGCCTTCAAAAGTTCGGTCATTTCTGTCAAGACATACAGTCCACCAAATGGCTTGAGGAATGGTATTCTAAGTCTTCTGTGATTTCTTGCATAACCACTCTTTGTTCCAGCATTGCAGTAGCTCAAAAATGGATTTTGGCATAGTCCAAGATGCCAAATATTGCCAAAAACATGCATCATAACTGACTAGTAGTTCTACAGTGCAAGAAGAGGTGGCCAACATCTTCATAGTGTTCTTCACACGTCAGACACCTACTGCAAAGCTGAAATCCCTTCTTTTGGAGGTTGGACTGAGTGAGAAAACCCTCCCTAGTGAACTCCATACTTGGGCAGTTTCTAAGCAACATCCAATCTTTCATCTTGGTGTACTCTTTCTCCATTCCTTGGTCGTTTCTTTCCAATATATTCATTACAGCTTTAACCAATTATAGTGTATTAACATGTAATGTAGCTTTCTTTTATCAAATCTCAGGGACATGGTCTACTCATGAGGATACTTTTCTTTATAACCGAGAAATTTCCGGAGGGCCAGTGGTGCATAGCTCGCAACTCAGTGAATAATGCTCCCCACCCCCTCTACCTCTCTTCTCATCTTAAGAGACCATTGATGCTCAATTACAGAGATTATAGTTTCTTCAGTATGACTGCAGACATCAGACTTTATCATTTGGCAATTGAGATAGAGAACTAAACATCACATTGTGAAAGGAAATACCACTCAAGTATCCCAGACCTCCTTTGAAACTGATAGCCAAGGATGGTTGCATCTTGCATCCTCTATTCTCCTGTAAGCTTGACTAAAACATAATTCTTCCCCAAGGTAGAATCCCTTTTTTCACCATTGACAGCTTAATCATTCCTGAATTTAAAACTGCTACACGTTGAATATAGGAAGAAGTGGACAAAACCTTCTTAATCATTAAGAAATGGACTTTGGGCTTAACTCCTATCCAAAAGCTAGCTCACGAGGTGAAAATTGCCCAAGATCATAAAAGGAGACAAGAGTTCATTTCCTCCACTGATGTGGGACACTTAACAATAATCATCTCTAAACCATCTTGATAGTACTCAATTATATCCCTCAAAATAATTTTCTTATCAAGATAATTTTTGCATGGAAAGACCAGACGTATTTTGTATTCCAAAGCTTGAACTTTTGTGCCATATCCACTTCTACAAAACATTATGTCTGAAAGTGTAATAGCACAGGAGTGTAAAAGTCTTTGGTAGACTTTAAAAAGTTGGACAGCTCTAGATCTTGAGAAGCACCATAGTCCATACACAAAGAGTCTCAATCATGTATTCCAGCAGCAGTGAGTGCTACACCATTCTAATTTTGCAATATAGATGGAGTACACTGTAGTACCCTAGTAGGATCTTCTCATACAATATAGATAGAGTACACAATTCTTACCTAGTGAATACCACCAGGACCCATTTCATAAATTATCAAGTGTGAGTCGAGAAGAATTCAGCTGCAAATCCACAAAGGCACTTACCAAGCCAGAGCATCAGATTGCTTACTCTATGAGAATTAGGTCTGTTGATCTGTGACAGTCGCTTTCCTTCTTTTTCCAGTGGTCGTGTTTCTCAGACATGAACTTTTTGTTTCCAATTGAAACTAATAAGGAGCAATTACTAGTTTGAACATCTAACTTTCGTCATTTTAACTTCACTGGCTACTGAGCATGCAACTGATTTTCAATTAAAAACTTCAAGAAACCATAACAACTCTGAGAAAGTGAATGGTGTTACCTAACAGCATCAAGTAAATAGCTGGCGATATGCTTTCTTCTGTTGGAGGGAGTGACCCAAATGGCTCTAATGCCACATACCGCAGATACAGCTTCCTTCTCACACAACACTATTCCACTGATGCTTTCATCAGACTCTTCACAGCTTTTGGTTGGTTGATTTCTTCTTACCATTTCCCTCTGGAAACTCACTCCTCCAAATTGGAGCGTGGTTGAAGTCTGTTTTGCTTCCTTCTCAGGTGAGACATTACACCTGCTACCTTCTGGCATTGAGAGTATCTTATAAGCCCTCTTAATGGGCTCTGCTACCAGACATCCAGATACTCTTTGAGAAGATATAAACAGATACACCTGTTAAGGAGAGAAATGTTTCAGAGTTCCATTCACAGAGCTAGTAAAACTCAGACAGTCGCATAACCACCACACAGAATTTCTCACTAAAATTAGTCAGCAAAATGGGGACAGACATTCAATGTCATAGGAAGACTAAGAAGCTCATTGAACTGAAGTAACTTATAATTCACGTTAAAAGATAAATGAAGCAGAGAGTAGGAAGCCGGAAATTTGAAATTTGCTATTGATTGGTGAACAACTTTTGACAATGAAGTTTGTTTTCTATGACCATAAGTTTATTAGAATTGCAAGAGTAGGAACCTTGCATAGCTGATGATATATCCACCCATCTCCAAGTTCCATCTCCATCATCTTCACAACTTCCTTTACCTGCCAACAATGCACTCTTCTCTTAAGTCTGTGAACTATGTTTAGCATGACTAACTAGAGAAATGCCAATCAAGGAAGTAAAAATACAGTTTTTCATGCATAAACAAACAGTATCTGTAAACCTTGTTTTTCTGAGGAGTAGGGTCATCGTCCAGCACCAAGATAATTCGCCCAATTTCAAGTGAAGGAATTCGAATAATTCTTTCATTCCGCCAACCCTGGACATTTTGTCAAAGCCCAGTGGGACAAAACTTTAATCTTTTCATAACATCAAGCACAATCGAATATTTTGAAATACCAAATTTTGTTACTGAATTACCTTCAATGGAATACCATGCGTATAATTCTTGTGAAACGTTTTATGAAACTTTTCATCCTCTTCATCACCTTTGGCATATTTGAATCCACAGATAGTACAAGTATGCAATAAAAAATCAGACTGCCCGAGTTCCAAATAGAATTGGGCATACTTTCTCTTCTTATTCAGAATTTTCCTGGACTTTGCCACCTCCAAGTTTGGCACCTCCAAGTCTATTTCCTTGGATGCTTCGCCAGTTGATGCCCCATTCATTTGCCTGCAAAATCAGCTTAGCATAAGCAAAGAACTTGAAGAAAAAATAAGAAAGGTCATCAATGTTAAGTAGTAACAACTCTGAGATGCAATTTCTTTTCAAACACATGGCTAATAAACCACTATTGTCAAACATTCAACGAAGCTCTTCTACAGCTAGGTGTAAGTAAAATTTGAACAAAACAGCAATACCAACGAAAGGTAATCCATAGAGATGTCCAAAAACAAAACAAAACTAAATAAACTATAGAGCAACAGACAATTTGGATTTAAAAAATACTAGCAAATCTCAATTGAGGATGTAGCTAACAGACTACAAGTTCAATTGAACCAAGTCCTTCAATACAAAGCTTAGATATACAAGTAAAAATCATCAAATTTTCAATAAAACACATCAAAATTGAAAAGTGTAACGAGAATAGTTCAAAATCATAAAAATTGAACCCATCAAACTAAAATTCTAGATCCACCACTGCTACCAATCAAACACTTCTCTTAGCAGAAATTCCAAGATTCAAATGGCATCTATGTATGTACAGGTAAAAAGAAAAAAACCCCAATTCAATGCAGTGAAACAGAAAATAAGTGAATTTACACCATACCCATTTGAATTTTGAGGTCTTCGCTGGTATGTAACCAAAATTTCTGGTTGTACCTTCTTATACTCGAAATCATCACTGACAATTTGAGATGAATCTACACTCTTGTGCGTAATCGATGAAGAAGAAGAAGAAGAAAATGGCTTAAAGAAGCTGTTAATCTTCGATTGCATAGCTCAAATTTAACTGATTTCTTCGATTTCCCTTCAGCCCTTTTTCACATTTCACCTGTAAATTTCATATGAAAATTTTGGTGTAGCGCCATTTTCTACAAGATTTTCCCGCCTTTATACTATGAGCAAATTCAAGAGAGTAGTACTTTTGATTATTATTACTTGGATACCCAAATGTTTGGAAAATAGCATTTCACCCCTCAAAAGTTAATTAGAGGGAAATTACGTCGATAAGCAAACATATACTTGTTTTAGTATTTCTTGACTGGCCATCTAGAGATAAATCTATTGTCTAATTTTAAAATCGGGAGAGGAGAGATTAGATAGACCAAAGAATATAGAGAGTTCGATCGACCCATTAGATTGAGGTGATTTGTGTTCAGGAGTGACGCCCGGACGAACGACTTGTTTGGTTACGAAATTGGATGAAATACAAATGCTCGCCAGTTAATCTATTTATCCCCGCTCAACGATGTAGTTAGATAGTTAATTGGATTAGGCGACTAGAGGTGTATTGCCCGACTCATACAATTAACCCAATAAACCAGTAACTTGAAAACCAAAATTAATTCTAAGCCAATAATATGATACATGATATTCAATATATGTTGCAGCCCTGGAATTTCTTTTAACTTGCTTGAAACAGTATACTAAAGTCGTTCAAAATTAGCTACTTTCATTTAGTGCATAATTAGTAGTAATTAACAATCAATCACAACTCTTGAAAAGGATACTTTTACTTTTATTTGTAGAATTAAGCATTAAATATAAATTGATCATAAGTCCCTTGGGAACGATACCTCGTTTCTTAAAGAATCTATATTACTTGCGCGACCACATACTCTTGCGTGTATATGTTGTACGCTGGGTATTGTTGGTCGAAGGAGTTGCATTGAAGTTAGAGTTGGAAGAATTGGGCCACTGATTTTGAATACAGTTGGGCTAAAATATAGGCTGCTGAGTTGATTAAGAAAAAGGGCCCAACAGTTGATATTTCTAAGGGGTTGAAGAAATTGGTAAGGAAGTGGCTACAATTGCAATTACAAATTAAGGATTACAATTATAACAAATTAAAGTTAAAAAGTTTAGCTGTTTGAATTTAATTGATGAATTCGGCCAAAAGTTAAATAAGATAAAGTCATATAAATTAATTAACAAACTTCTTGATTTTAACAAAATAAAATAATTATCTTAAGTATAAACTAATTAACTCAAAATATAGCTTATAATTAAGCTAAAATAATTAACAAAATATTTAATTGAAAATAAAATCTCTTTGAGATGATTTTCGAATATTCATAAGATACACTAATTATATACATAATTATGTAAAACATATTATATTATTTGAAAATTATAATAATGACAAATTTTGTTCAAACTAACTCGCTAACTATTTTGAATTTTATAAAAACTAATTATTTTAAATCGTTTGAAATTGAAGAAGCTCGATGATTAATCTATATTGTAGAGGTCCAAATTGGATGTCAACATTCATCGTCATTTCTTATCTTCTTCTCTTTATATTATATTGTTTTGAGCTTGATTTAATAACAAAATATAGATTTTCAAACAAATGAGATGTAAAAAAATAATCATAAAATATATAATCTTTTACAATTAATATCTATCATTTGAAAATAGTTTTTTAAAGCTTTAGATAAAAAATAATAGTAATAAGAAAATGAGTTTGACCGAAAATAAAAGTAACATTGTGCATAGACAAACACACACCAATATACTTGCATATGAGACATGTCACACCATTAATTAAATATATATACATGAAGATAAATTGGTTTAGCCCAATTTTTCTTAACAACCGAATAAGGCTATAAATTGTCATGCATGCATGCATTAGGTTCTGAAAATTGACATTAAAAAATAATGAGGATTAATGTATTGTAAATGGCTCTGTGACAAACTAATATAAAAGAAAGTGCGAGAAGTTATAAGTTAACCATCTTAAAAACTTTTTAAATTTTAAATCTTACCTTTCAATTAATTCAAATTTCTCATAAATAAAAGAATAAAAAACTAAAAATCCAGAAAGGTCCCACTAAAAATATTACCACCCACATAACTTGTATGATTTTATGATGATCCAAAACAGAGAATCCAAAGGTGTATTCATGAGGTCAAGTTTAAAATATGGAAAAACTACCTAAACCACACGTACATCACTACCATATATACTATATTTACCTCTAGTTTAAAATAATTACACACATTACCATTTTTAATATTTATATCTTATATTTTAAAAAATTTATTAAGATACACAAATCCCTTAAATATGGTATTGAATAATTATCTTAAATTTAAATTCCTTAATTATATTTATGCTCATTAACAAGTTAATTTTTTTCTATTCTCATCTGCCGTCGGTCGTTCCCCACCCCATGTCCAGCAACCCACTTTCTTTCTTCTTCTTCTTCTCCCTCTTTAATTTATTTCTTCATTCTCTCAATACATGTTTGCATGTTCAAATCAGTATTTTACATATATGTTTATTTTTATTGTTTTATTATTCTCAAGTATCTTGATTTTATATCTGAGTTAAAATTCATAATGTTCTTAAGTTTAATTTAAAAAGGTTTTACAAATTAGGTTTTATATTTTTTTATTTTGTTGTTTCTCAAACGCTTTAATGGCTGACCATTCTCAAAATCCTACGATTCTTGTTAAAGGTACTACACATTAACAATATTATACTAAACCAGACAACTTTTATTACTCATTAATTTGTCATTGCAGGGACTAAATCTTCATCAATCAACATTCAAGCCGAGAAAAGATCTAAATATAGAAACGACCCAATCAAGATGGAAGAATTACGGCAAGTTTTAAGTAACAGAACAAATACACCATTAGATATGCAACAATGTTGGATACAAATCATGTGTACATGTATCTAGTTAAGAGTTCATGTATCTGGCTTAAGATTATATGTATCTATGAGAAAAAAATTCAGATACTAAAAAGGGAAGAATTTTGAAAAAAATTACTCTTTTTTTTTGGATTAATGATAAACAGATACTCTACCATCGTGATTTTTCCTAAATTTGTGTGTTTCAGTTACATTTCATATTTAGATACATATAATTATATGTATATGCTTATTATGTATCCGGAATACATATTTTTGAATATAATGTATGAAACTAATACTTGATACATCAAATTAATACTAGATACATATAAATAGATACATGAAATAAATATTAGATACATATAACAAATACATTAAATAAATCTAGATACTTCTATGATACATATGGATGTACATGTATGATGTTCATGTATCTAAGTGTTTAGTTGGTTGGATGCATCATATATTGATATCTGATAATAAATACATCAAATTAATGGATTTATTATTTAAATAGTAATAAAATGAAATTAATCAAATTAAATGACTAATATATACATGTTTTTTTTTTATCTTTTATTAATAATATTAATGAATTTATTATTTCAAACAATAATAAAATAAAATTAATTAAACATACATTGATTTCCGCCTTATAATAAGAGATTTGATTAATTAAATTTTCAAAAATAATTGTCCATGTATTCTGAAAAAATCTTAATTATAGAAATAATTAAGGAAATCAGTTACAACCAATTAATTTAAACAAATAAAATACGTATCTCAATTTTAAAATTCGACATATACATATGTCTCACGGATTCCAATTGGTGTATCCTAAGCATAAAATATGATAGAGGAAGTAATATTTGAAACTATTGGGAATCTTAGTAATTAGGACCTAAACTAGTGGGATTTATGTAGTTTGCCTTGAAATATTTTAAAGATATAGTTATTTACAAACGCATAATAAGTTGCAAGTCAACTAGTGAAGTATAAAATCCAAAATTCAGTTGATGAACAAATTAGAGAGCATATAATTCATGACGACAAACCTTTTCCAATCAGGAATTGGAATTACGGCCCTGTTCCTATTCATAGTGAATTTGGGATTTAAGAATCCTTCTACTATAAATGTAGGCAATTGTTGTTGGAAGAGACAAAAAATTAATCCCAAACTCCTCCTTTGTGTGCATATTCCAAAAAGTTCATGGACTATAGCACATGAAAATCGGCTTTAAAGTCATGAAGCTACTACGTGGTGGTTGCAATAGAATTGAACTTCCCGATTTGATTATATTTCGCATCTTGAGCTACCTGCCTCTTCGGTCTTTGTTCAAATTCAAATGCGTATGCAAGCTGTGGTCTACACTATTTCTGCATCCAACTTTCTTGTACTTCCGTAGCAAACACTCCCCCTTCGCTCATTTTCTCTCTGAGGATGCAAAATTCTTGACAAAGCTCCGTTTTGACAATCCAGAGACATGTTGGGACTTTACCACAATCTGTTTTAGTAGTCACTTCTTATCTCTAGAGAAGAAGATGATAACTTCTTCTCAAACTGTGATGTACCGCATACTATCCCTACAGCTCTGTGATGCACTCCCAATCCCCAGTCCCCAAAATCCTAGTTTGTGCATTACCCTAGAGTTTGTTTCCATTACCTCTAACCCTTATGGTGGTTCTGTTAAGTTGATTTCTGTTTATGAAGATGGAAACAACAACCTCGGTTATGAAATTCTCTCTCTCGACATTCATGTCCCTTATCGCTGCTGGCGAGCCATTGACAATGTGCTACCACTGCCTAGGGATGGACAAATGATGAATAGCATTCAACTCTTTTTTAGAAGGGGCGTTGCTTATTGTATTCGCTTTGTTGAAACAACAGAGGAGATCGATGATATACAAATTGATATTATAGATATGGTTAATGAGACCTACATTGGTCGTACTATTTTTCCCAGAGAAAGATTCATGAACACCACTTTGCATCTCATGGATTGGAACGGACGTCTCTCCTTTGCTCAACTAGTAAAAGATGAGCTTCATGTCTTGAAACTAGACGATCACACAAAATTGAAATGGGCTCAAACAAAGCGCATCATCAAGCTGCACTGCTTGAAATCGT